TGTGGTAAAGTATTCAAATACTTATAATTTTGGTCTTGTTGGTCAGCTTAAGTAAGCTAAGCTTTAGTGCTGTTAATCTTTGTGTTGGACACACTTCTCAAGTCTTCTTACTTTGGTCAGATTGTGGTTAAGATTTTGGTAAATCTGTTGTTAGGATTGGAATCCTAAAAGTAAACTTAAACTTAAAACGAGTTGTAATTAATAGTTCGAGGTGATCCTAAAAGAACCTGAATTTCAGGATTTGAGAGGCTGAATAATCTTCTGTTTTGGTGTTAATTGTTTGAATCTGAATTCAACTTTAATTTAATTTCAACAAATGAATAACTCTTCCTTTCAATGTTACTTAAAATAACCAAATAACTATCAGTGGTTAAATGATATTTCATATGAAGACCCATGTTCCTTTTATACTTAATCACAATTACTTTCTCTTCTTTCGTGGTTTTCTAGATTCTCTAAGAATCAAGTTTCTAATCAAGATGACGGTAATGGTGACCAATGATGATCCAGTTTAACTCAATACAAATTTTGAGGCTTTTAAACTCCCCTTTTCATCATCTCTCCTCCTTTCTTCACAGAGATGATCTTACCTTGATCATCATCTTGAACATCAAAATCGTCTCGATCATCTTTTTGCATTATGTATTTCTCACCTGAATTGAAAAAGCTTTTCGGAAAAAAAGATTTTTGACGATTTCAATGTAAATAAGAGATTAAAATGATTAAAACTGGAATCACCCAGTCGATTTCTATTGGAAGGATGATATCAATATCGATTAAAGTTATTGCTTTTCACTGAATTGATCAATTGTTAAATTTTAGCTGTTCGAATGTTAGAGTACAATTAAAACGGAAAGTTAGGATCTTATAGATTGATTTTAATGTTGCATTCTTGTAAAAAAGGAGGCGAGTTAATGTTTCTGAAGACAGGTAATCAGGATGGAAAAGGATCTGTTTATAAAGATCCAATGAAAAATAGTTAAAGGAAAGGTGGAAGAAAAGATATCAACTGATTTGACCTGACTTGTGTAGTAATTATAACACTTATAGTCATTTACAAACAAAAGCTAAACAAATGAGTTGAGAATCCTTTTGATTTCATTTTTTTCTGCATCAGTTTTGATTAAGGACAAAAACCAAAAGAATAGGGAAAATTGCCTATGACTGAAATTTTTTTTGAATAAAATTTTCTAATGTATTTTCATATGCTGATTCCATAAATCAAACTCATTTTTCGATCAGACTTATACTTTTTTAGATATCACAGAAAAATAACTAGAATATTGTAGAAACGATAGAGTTCAAGTAGAAGTTTGTTCCGACCTAGAACAAGAAGGAACCTAATTATTTTTATATGCTTGGTCTCGACCTCTCATTAGCATCGGATATTTTGATGCGCTGGATAGATCGCATGCATTTCGACACTCATTTCGATACAGAATCATTAACCTAGTCTTGATCCAAGATAAGATAAGAATTTTAAGGTGTATTTTTTCATGGAGATTTCATATACATCATCATGCTTAGATATATTTGGGTAGATCGTGATTCTATTCCAGTTTATTCCACTTTATTATTTACAACTCTGTTATCAGTTTCTGATTCGAGATAAGATAAGATTTTTTAGATACTTTTTCTGTTGGAGATTTCATATATCCCATTCAGCCTAAATATATTTGGGTAGATCATGATTCTATTCTAGTTTATTCACCTTTATTATTTACAACTCTGTTATCAGTTTCTGATCCGGTCAAAGGTATAAATAGAGAATGATCAATAGATATGATTGATGTTATTTGTATGTGACTTCCATTGGTATATGTATGAGCAAAAAAAAATATCGAAAAATCCAAAGAATCGAAATATTTTAAAAACGCATATTGTTTTGACTAATAAGGTCAAAGGTATAAATAGAGAATGATCAATAGATATGATTGATATTATTTGTATGTGACTTCCATTGGTATATGTATGAGCAAAAAAAAATATCGAAAAATCCAAAGAATCGAAATATTTTAAAAACGCATATTGGTTTGACTAATAAGGTCAAAGGTATAAATAGAGAATGATCAATAGATATGATTGATATTATTTGTATGTGACTTCCATTGGTATATGTATGAGCAAAAAAAATATCGAAAAATCATAAAAATTGAAATATTTTGAAAACGCATATTGGTTTGACTAATAAGGTCAAAGGTATAAAGAGAGAATGATCAATAGATATGATTGATGTTATTTGTATGTGACTTCCATTGTGATCAGTTTGCGTTAAAACATTCGGTCTATTAAGCATTCAATCAAAACAAATATCTTTCAGCTATCACTTTATTCAAATATTCTTTATATATCAATCATGGCTTACTGCTCCAATTGTAATCTTGCTTTCAGCACCTTTAAAAAAGGGTTGCTGAAAGGACCGAAAAGAGTTCGGAAATACATTATCAGCAATGCTGAAATGTTGAATTTCCTAAATTCAATGCACGGTTCCAGGGGTTGCAATGATAAGAACCATATTGGTTCTGTGATTTGCAACCGCTGCTATCAAGTTTATTACAAAAACAGAAAGAAAAGGACTATGGAAATCGCTGATTTTTGTGAATAGTCCTTTTCCAAACTGGAGGCGAGGGTAACCAGTATAAAAAACTACCCAAGACTCACAAAAGGAACTACCTTCACGTGGTGTGAGTTGTTTTGACCAAAGTTCCTCACATGAAATCGTATTCATATTATACTTACTTGTATTTTTCATCAAGGATTGTTTTATTCACTCTCATTTCAGTCTTTTCATTTCAACTTGATCTTCCAATTTCAATTCGGTCTTACATTTCAATTCAATCTTTCATTTCAATTCAATCTTTCATTTCAATTCATCTACGATTTCAATTAATAAATTTAACTCGTATTAGCTTGGTATTTAGTTTAAAATGGATTCGCAGAAAGAAATTTCAAAAAAAACTTGGCGAAAAAATCAGAGGGAGAGGAAAAAAGAAAGGGATAAAAATGTTCAAGCGGGTCTGACTGCAAAATGAGAAGCTGATCCATATTTTGCAAAAGATATGGCGAGAAAAGCAAGAAAAGAAAAAAATAGAGCCGCCAAAAAATTTAAGAAAAGTCTTGAAATGTTCAAGCAACATTCATCTGTTGAAGGCTACAAAGCTGAGGAGACCTGTCTCGGGCGTATTGAAGCTGAATCAATGAAGAATGAGGCGATCAAAGATTTCAAGGTAGCGCAAGAAACTTTAGCTGTTGCTGAAACGCTTCAAGGGAAGAGCACTAATGAGCCTGGAAGCTCTCATAGTGATCTTCTGAAGCATATTTACCAATAACTTCAATCATGATTATTGTTCTTCATCTTGTAGTGCGAAGCAGCTTTTCAGTACCACTACAAGATTGAAATCAATAATCAAGATTGAAGTTATTGGTGAATTAAACTGGAGGCGAGGGTAACCAGTATAAAAAACTGCCCAAGACTCACAAAAGGAACTACCTTCACGTGGTGTGAGTTGTTTTAACCGAAGTTCCCAAACAAATCGTTTGTCATTTGTTTCTCTCATCACAAATATGTTTAAATGCAATAATCGATTTCTCTTTTAGCTAAGATTGAAATCCAAAGGCCATTATCTCAAAAAGTATGTGTCACAGAATAAAATTAATTCAATTAATGAATTTTAAGCATAAAAATATGCTATAAAAATATGTAAAATCAGGTTTTGCAAAGGTTGAAATTCAAATATCATTATCTCGAAAAGTATAGGTCACAGAATAAAATGCATTAAATATTTGGATTTTTCAACATGAATATATCCTATTGCAATGGCCAATTTCCCTATTGACTAAGGTTGAAATTCAAATGCCATTAACTCGAAAAGTATAGGTCATAGAATAAAATGCATTTAATATTTGGATTTCTCCACATGAATATACCTTATAAAAATAATCCAAATGACCTTCTGCAAAAGTTGAAATTCAAAGGCCATTATCGCGAAAAGTATAGGTCGCAGAAAAAAATAGATTCAATAAATGGATTTATCATCATGAATATACTCTAGAAAATATGTCAAAAGGGCATTTGCTCGTGGTGCAGATTTAAAGGCCATTTTCTCGAAAACTATTGATCGCAGAAAAAAATGAGTTTTAGATTCGGTCTTTTCACGTAAAAATACATTTGAATTATTATTCTCATAAAATTCTAAATTTTAGGCGAAAATGGTCTTTATCCTTATAATTAATCTAGAACTGTGTTCGTTCAGATCGTTTTTGGATTGGTTCGGTCCATGCAACTGGGTGAGCGGATGATCAAGTTGCAGCATGGTGGGCATTGGTGTAAACTGTTGGTGGGTATTCAGCACCATAGTAAGCTGGTTGGACTGGTGACAATGAAGCAGGCTTAACCCAATTACCTTGTTTCCATGATGGTTTTGGTTGAGCCCATGAAGCAGGCTTGACATCTGATGCTCAGACGGCAGGTTTAACTTCTGAGGTCCATGTAGCGGGTTTAACATCTGAAACCCATGATCCTGAAGCTGAAGCAGCAACTTCACCAGACCAGGCTGAGTATTGAGCTGGAGCTGAAACAACATTGCTTACTGTGGCATATTGTGGACCAACAGAGACTGATCGTGCTGGGAAAGCTTGTGAGGCAACATTGCAAGAAACTTCTTCCTTTTTGGCGGGAACATCATGAACGATTTCACTAATTGTTTAGAAATTTTATTAAAATGAATGAATATAATGGATAGTTACTTTTTAAGTAATTAAAAATTTCACGATCGAAAATATTAACACAATTAAATGGCAAAAAGATCTGCTCCCTGCAATCGGATTCACAACCTGAAGTGCAAAGTGATGAGGCCTTGCTTGCTTACATTTGTACTAATATTTATAATGTACTAAATGATAAATGGTTGTTGTTCCTAAAAAGGAACATCACTGCGGTTGAATCATTTCAGCATTTCATTTGCTATGCTCGTCATCATCATTTTGTCTTCTTTTCATCTTCCTCAACCAATTCATCCATCAGCCATGCGTTACTTGATATTGATATGTAGAATGGTGCACATTTCTACATTGTTAATCTAGTTTCGATTGAAGACTTGTTAAGGTGATTTTCATGAATTATAATCTACCATAACTGAATGTGAGTAGTGAGTGAGTAAAATCGCAAAAAACAAGTTTTTCCTTGAAAATTGAAATAAGTCCTTTAGTCAGCTTTGCCATCATTATTATCAACATAATCGTCAACTTAGTTTTTGACTTGTTTCATCACTAGAAACGTGGAGCAGACCAGCATTAAACAATAACGATTATCTTAAAGTGTAACTCACGCTAATTGGTAATCAAAACTAAATGAGTAAAAAGATGGATATTATATTTCAATGGTTCATCTTCATTCTTAACATCGTCCTCAACATCATCTTGTTATCTTAATTTTGCGCTATCCTTACCTCCTCAATCTTATTATTTTACGGTCAAGCGCCAAATAAAAGATTCACTTTACTGTGTGAAAATTGGAATGAAAATAACAACATTTGTAATCTAATATTCAATTCAATTTTCACCCGAGCAATTGATAAATCTCTGCCTCAAATTATCTTCATCAACAAAGTTAGCAACATCAGTGATTTCATCTAATAAACTTATTCTGTGCTCCGAATTGAAAACAAAAGTTGAACACTTAAAATTATTTCTGCTAAACGTGGCTGAGTTAATAGTATCGGCGGTATTGAATCAAATTAAGAGTCATCACCATAAGAGAGAAAGAATCTCAGTTCAAAATGAAATTGGATAAGTAGCAGTTATTCTTCATTCATAATAACAAGGCCGATCATGTTCCCATCTGATTGTTTCTATTCTCTTTTATCAACACTTCCTTCATCAAATTTATCTCGCAACTTCTCAACATCTAACTTGATCACAGGTTCGTACAATGGTTCAAACAACACAAACCATATGAATTGGAGTGCAAATTCATCACTAACAACAACCTCAAGTTCAATTGCAAACTCATATAGATCAATGTATAAAGTTAACCTTTCAATTATCCTTACATCGGCATTAGCTTCCACTATGTCACCAAATGAATTAATGCCCTTTAATTGCAATGCAACAACATTAACAACTACTTCAACACCTTTGGGGGCAATCAGCGTACCTTTATCTCCTTCAAACACTGTTTTCTCCGATTGGAACTTATTGCCATCATCCGTATCACCTTCTCCATCTTTTATTTCCTCAACAGTTTTTTCATCTTCATTACCATCACCCTCTCCAACAAGCTCTTTGGAATTATCTGGTAATGAAATAATTAGCCCACAATTCCCGTATTATATGAGAACTTCTGCGACATTATTTTGTGCTCTTATTCTGATACTTGGTACCACTGGAAATATTCTTGTTCCAATTGTTGTCTGTCGAACAAAAGAGCTTCGAAATTCAACAAATATATTTCTCATAAATTTGAGTTTAGCAGATCTCTTTGTACTAATTGTTTGTATGCCAACAGTTTTAATTGAACTTCATTCCAAGCCTGAAATATGGCTTCTAGGACAGGAAATGTGTAAGTTTTCCAACTTTCTCTTGCCTACTTATTACCATTATGATTCACCTTGATTTATCAAGTCTAATGTACTCACCGGAGAACCAAACAGCCCTGACAGTTTTCACTCTTTCAATGTAAACTTGATTAGAGAGATGTTTTTGAACAAAAGTGTTTCATTATATATACAATAGTTGAATGAATATGCTCAAGTGGAGCTTTTTCAGTTATGATATTGTAACGAAAGTTACGGACACGATATAAATGATGCACAACAGCAAACCGTGTGATTAAGTTAACTTTAATTCAACAATAACATAAGTAGGGGTGTAGGATTTTAGGTAGCGTAGTAGAGTATGATACAGGTAAATCAAAGAGGATAACTTATCGTACATAAGGGTAAAAGACTAACTAACTAACTTAACGTCAATCTGTTTTTTTATATCATCTAGATCTACAGAGGATGTATTCCATATTAGGCTTCTCAATTAGGTTCTCATGAATCAAGAACACTCCATATTTGACTCAGGATGTTATAATCCAAATTCAGCTTAGGATGTTAGAAATCCATATTAGGAGTAAACAAGAAGAATTTCTTGTTCAGCCTTTATACTTTATGCTCCCTCCGTACCGAATTGGCCAGCTCCGCTCACTTCAGTCTAGGCCAATGACTTTTAGTCGAGCTGTCTCAATATTTTCGTCACAATTGCCGCACGCAAAGTTGAAACAGTCCTCTGTTTCACAAATCGAAATTTGGAAATAACAAATTCACTCCAATAAAACCGTTTTTCTATAATCTTGTAGTCTTTTGGTCAAAACAGGATCCACATAAACCATTAAAATGTCACAAAACACATCAGTTTCGATATTCCAGGACATGATTCTGGAAACTTATCTTGAAACTGGATACACCATCTGTTTCCGTAACTGAAACAGGTAACCAAAAAATTGAAAAACACTTGAAGAAAACATCAGTACTCAACACTCGAGACCCCGAACATGGAATAGTTTGTTGAAACTGGAAAACCATCTGTCTCTAAGATGAAACAGGATAACCAAAATCTTATAAACCGCTAAAAAGAAAAACCATCTGTCTCTAAGATGAAACAGGATAACCAAAATCTTATAAACCGCTAAAAAGAAAAACCATCTGTTTTGCATCCAAAGAAAACAGGATTAATGAACGAGTTCGAATAGAAGAGTGAATTTGTGTCTAATGATGTCGTTGGCGAAAATGAAAAGAAGGCGACCAGATTATCAAATGATGATGATTATATCATATATGGATGAGATACCACAATTGTCCCACGCAGAATTGAAACAGTCCTCTGTTTAGATAGCTATGATAGCTAATTTATTACCGGTTATGAAGAACATACGAAAAAATTCCAATATACCACATGAAAGAAGATTTTCTAAATTACAGAGCGTTTTGTAAACCTCACTCTCCCTCAATTATATTCTTGGTTTTTTCTTTCATCATAGTGTATGGTAACAAAGAGCACACAAGTGGTCACTGTATCAAGATGTTTAAAGTGCTATTTTCTCTTTCAACTAGCGAATATTATAATTTTGCATTATCGCCTGCATGCTGGGGGACCGCAGACCACCGCAGATCGATTTTCGGCACTTTTCTTTTGCTCAGGTTTTGAGTCAGTAGCTAATCTAACATCATTTATCACACCTAATCAACCTGACCTTTCTCAGCTTTTCACTTTACATTTGTCGCTTATTATCTTTTTCATATTTCTGTTCATCTCGATCTTTTCTTTCTTCCTATCATTTTCTTTTTTCATCACTGCATTTAATTATACTGAATTGCTGGATCCTGGGCTACTAGTGTTAGTGATGAAAATTGTTAAGTTAACCGATATTTAAAAATGGAGTAAGGATATTGTTTACACATAAAAACTAGAGATAACGGAATTAGTCCATCATTTTTCTTACCACTTTACTAAATATTCATTTTCCTTTCAAAAATAAATTTCTGAAATGTATATATTAAGTTTAGTTTACTATTGCTCTGATTCCGGCTATTTTCATTGGGAACTACTTGATCATTTATCTCCAGTTATCACATACATACAGACAGGCTCATTACGTCACATAAAAGAGAAAGGTCCGAAGAGGTTACAGAGTTTTTTTTTGTTTTTCTTTCATCGAGGTAGGCTGTGAGGAAGGGTAGAAATTTTGATTTTTCTTTCAATTTTGTCTGACGATTAGGCTTAAAAAAGGCACAACCGGTCGAAAATAGGAATAGGTGTCAGACTGTAGAAGAGGGAGAAAGTATCCGTACATACTGCCTCAGACTGCACGAACCCAAGTGACGTGCAGTTATTGTTGATAAAGTTTAAGTTTCACAAAATTTCGGCGGATTCAAAAAAACGGTAAGCGACAGCAAGCGACAATAACCCGGAAATAGAGAAGTATTCCTTTCCACAGAACAGACCCTATTTGATGATGAACTTATTCCTTCGAGTGTTCTCATATAGGCAGCAGGAAAAAATTGAGGTCCGAAATACACTAACTAAAATTTTAGATTTTCTGGATTATTTTGACAGTGTTTATTGATAATGGTTAGTAACATTGGGTATACTTTGAAAAGGATGTGTGAAGATGCTGAATTAGCAATAAAGTTGCAATTGTCATGTGATTTCATGATTGATTGGTATGATGATTGCAAGGGAATATGATGAATTTACTTTTATGAAATCAAAAACGGAGGATATACTTTCCATACCTGACAGTTTTTTTTCTTAACATCTGATATAATTGCCATGAGCCAGGAGTAGGATTGCAAGGCTGTTTTGCTAGGTTACAAAATTTGCGAAGATATGACTGTATGCCTCATCTTTAATATTTATTTTCTTTTTCTTTCTTTTACTGCCGTAACTTTTTATTGTCATGAAATTGGTTAGCGGATTTTGATAACAACTAATTAATCCAAGAATCAAATTTCTTACAAAACGAAAGCTATGTTTGCGAAATTGTATTGGTTTATGGCAGTCAGCTCGTTGTAGTTTTAAATTGTGAGAACGCTTGCAAAATTTGAAAATGCATAGCTCACCAAGAAGCACAAGTTAGTTACCAACACAAACAAGTCCATCGTAGAAATCAAATAGCTCCAAGCTACATCTGAGCATAAAGAAAGACTATTTCCAGTCATATGGTAAAAAGATTTTGCATTTCCAGCAGATGAAGGAATACGAGTTATATAACGGCACATTATTTCACTTTTAGATTTAGATTTGTCCTTTGGTCAAATTGAAACAATCACACGGTAAACTTTTGTCACTGATCAAAAGCGGATCCCACCGCTGCCACCAATTGTAACGAAAGTTACGGACACGATATAAATGATGCACAACAGCAAACCGTGTGATTAAGTTAACTTTAATTCAACAATAACATAAGTAGGGGTGTAGGATTTTAGGTAGCGTAGTAGAGTATGATACAGGTAAATCAAAGAGGATAACTTATCGTACATAAGGGTAAAAGACTAACTAACTAACTTAACGTCAATCTGTTTTTTTATATCATCTAGATCTACAGAGGATGTATTCCATATTAGGCTTCTCAATTAGGTTCTCATGAATCAAGAACACTCCATATTTGACTCAGGATGTTATAATCCAAATTCAGCTTAGGATGTTAGAAATCCATATTAGGAGTAAACAAGAAGAATTTCTTGTTCAGCCTTTATACTTTATGCTCCCTCCGTACCGAATTGGCCAGCTCCGCTCACTTCAGTCTAGGCCAATGACTTTTAGTCGAGCTGTCTCAATATTTTCGTCACAATATTAATATGGTAAAATAAAAATAAGTAATAATATCAGTGGCAAATATATTTTTATTGTTAAACATTTTCTCAGGAAATCTAACTATATTTCTTTTGCATGATAATAGAAGTAAATTAAATAAGAAAAACAATTTTCTGTCTCTCTCCTACTGATTTAGTTCAATGTTTAGCACAGTAAATAGATATTTTCTCATGTTTCAGTCACAGGTTTGCAGTATTCAAAGTATCTCATCGAAACTATCTTTGGTTCTTACACAATAAAGTTCAAATGAATTTCAGATGAATCATTTATCCCTGCATCTCAAGCTTATTATTCATATTTTCTGATTCTTACTCCACCTTTAATCAGAAAATTGTGAAGTACAGTGGACAATCAGAATTATTGTTATAAATGGAATGCATTTATTTTTATCTCATCATTTGGAATTTCGCTGCACGCAATGAGAAAAATGCACGAATATTATTTGTTTTTCTTTCCATTTCCATATTCAGCACGAAGTACATGTTGTTAGTTAATTTTCATATTATATTTTGACTTTTTTGACTTTAGCTTCAACTGATAGCTTACCTGCACACCTTGTCACTAAATATGATGATAACATTTAGTGAGCTTCTTTTCCTCTTTTCATCTGGACAAGTCAAACAAAAGCTAATAACAAAGGTTCAGGTTCATTTCAGTTGTATACAATTTTCCACACTATACTGTATATGATGTATGTATGAAGATATATTGTGAGATATAATGCGAGCAAACATTATCATGAGGTAAAATTTAACTGTAACTGTTAATAGTTTCTAGTCAATAAGCAAAAAATTAAAACGAAATGTTACGTTATTTATACCTTTTTCACTGATTAGCGGTTTATTCTTAACTTGTGTCGAGTAGAAGAATAATTCATGAAAGCATCTTACATGTATTAATATAATCGATTTATTAAAACATCATGTTTCATGGAGGCCCTTGCAAGAAGTAAAATCAAATCCTCTTTTTTATCCAAAATTGCATCACATATTTTTGAAATTAATATTAATATTAGCCTTCAATTAGTCGATTTGAATCAATCTTTTATTTCATTAAACAATTGGAAGCATTTTTATTGTTATTCTTTGGGTGATCAAGTCAAAGAATGTCAATACACATTGACAAGAGAAGTCTATTAAATGTATGAAAAATTCGTTAATGCTCAGATGGAGAAGCATCAGTGTTTACTGAATAAACACT